CCGACAATCTGTTCCATTATTTTTACAAACTGTCACTTCCGATACGTAATAATAAAGCAGATTTGTAAACAAATCGTACAATTTGTCAAAAAAATTCCCTCCATAAATTTGGCAATATTTCGATATCACGATATTAAAAGCATCGTATAACTTTAAATCTCACTAATTTAAATCAGTATGAAATATACTCTATATTCCTCGATTGTCCCCTCTTAGTTGATAAATATTTATGATGTTGATTTATATAAAGACATAATTCGCAATCGAGAAACCAATTTATTTCTTCCTCCATTATTCATCGATTCGTTCACATCCGACGTTCTCGATTAGCGTAAACGTAGCGATATATCGCGGGAGAGGAGAGGTCGCGACGATATCGAACGAATCCCGTCCCGGTGGGGGAAATTCGATAGATCGGAAAATCTATTCAAAAGCTCTCTCTTGTGTGTAGTCGCTCGCAGAGCGGCGTATCTCGGCGCGATCGTGTAATATTACTTGGTAAACGCCAGCGGGCGGACGGACGCGCGGGAAACTGGCAGAGGAACAAGCGGGCGAACGGACGGGAAGAAGAGGAGAGGATGGGAAGAGGAGGGAAAAGGGACGAGAAAATTTGCAAGAAACTATATTTACGGAGTTCGTTCCGGAACATTGACCCGCGGGAGAGAAGTTACACCGCTGGAAGCCGCTGGTGCTCCGGAGGTGTTCGGAGGGAGACCGCAGCAGCAATTTTTCTTTTCTGATGTATAAGCAAGAACCTAAAACGCTCCTCTAAACGTGTCCTCGCTACTTGTTTCATAGCTCGTCGACGACGACGATGGTACGGAGCTGAGCCTTTTATTTCTGCTGGTTTATTGGATGCCGTGAACGTAAGGACGAAGGATCTAGTCTTCCGTGGGAAGGGACGGTGCGGTTTCTTTCCGCTTGGACGAAGGAACGGACGATGAAAAGAGAGAGAAGCTCCTTTCCACCTCGGCAAAACGGCCACAAAGAATATCGAGCCCCTTCCTCCTTCCCCTCGCCTATCCGATATGCCGCAGCTTCGACACAGGAAGTCCACTTTGACATTGTTCGTAGACTATCGACTGCGCTCGCAAAAAGTTGTCGCGTTCACCGCGACAAGCGAGGCTCGAGAGATTTTCGAAAAAGACCAGATTGGTACATGCGGTGGGTGATCATCACGGTGATTTCGTAATGTCTCACTCTTTTGTGAAGTGCGATAGCTTTATGAGACGAAACAAGTGGAATTTACAGCGACTGGAATTCCCCCGGGCGCTTTTTCAGATGTTCCCATCAAGGACAATTAACAGGTCTTCGTTAAATTTCTATAAAACGCCCCGAACGTGCTTTATCGGCCAGATTATATCAGATCTGATTTCTCTCTTTTTCGAGGATTGTTACGTTTAAATTGACGTTTCGTGCAGTTGCACGCATGTTAGCTTTGTTATTTCTTTCAACTTGTAATATATAGAATATGATTTTTCTGAAACTCCATGAATTTCACTAGCTATATATATATATATATATATATATATATATATATATATAAATTCATTTTTAAATAATGTATCATGTACATCTTCTCTAATACAATATATGCTTTAATTCGTAAACAAATTTCTTATTCATTTTATAATTTCGATATTATTATTGGCGTTTTTGTTAATGAAAGATCAGCTGTTATATCGATTTATTCTTTCTCCTCGTGCATCCGGAAATATGACTCTTCATGATCTCGTAAAATCTTCAAATTGTTTTCATTATATTTATTATCAATAATGATAGCGCGCTGCGCGTGATAAAATTTCTATGATTGATCAATTGGATTTCCTACTTCTCGTATCGTTTCTCGCCGGTGAAATCTCGGCGTGGGCGTCGGCGTCTAAGATGAAAGGAAGAGAGAAAGAACCAGGAAAAAGAAACGAGCGAGAGAGGGAAGGAGATGAGTGAGGTGGGAAAGGTGCGGAAGGAAGAGAGAGAGAGAGAGAGAGCATTGAAGGAGGTAAATTGCCCTGAGATATTTAATCCCGCGGAAAGGCCGAGGGATCTCTCCTTTATTGGCTCGGCGAGTGAGCAACGACGGGCGAGATAAGTCTCCCCATCGGATCGATGGCCAATCGCGTTAAGCGATTTTCGCGCCTCGTTATCCTTTGTTTCCATCCGGCGGACGATCGGCTGCATCTCGTCGACGGCGACGCTCCTTCGTCTTTCGTGACGTCGAAAGATCGATCTTATATCGCGCGCCTTCCTCTCCTCTTTCTCTCTCTCTACCTCTCTTTCTTTCCTTCATCGTCTATACGAAGAATCGCTGACTTTCGCATTCCTCAATGCTAGGGGAAAATTACCCCTGAGGGGTAAACTGCGTTCCGAAGAGAGAAAGAGCGACTTATCCACTCGACTTTCCGATAGTCGACGACGAGATAGCGCGCGAAAGCGATTTCCAATTGAGATACACCCTCGCGCAACTTTGTACTCTGGGAATCACTCGTTTCATCTCGGGATATCACGAATTAATTGATTTAAGAGATAAAGAAAACTTTTCGAAACAGCAGCTAGGAATATGTATATGTGTATGTGTGCATTTACATGTAAAAAAGCTACACTATCGTTAAAGATGACAATAGAGAACTCTATTAACGGATATATAATATTTAACAATTTAATATTAATTAAGCCTAATTAAATATATTAATACAACAATATTAATTAAACCTTCTTTTAAATCTAAGACATTTAAAATCCAAGATATATAATTTAATATCTATTGAAATTTAATTCTATTCAGAAGCGTCTAATCTTCAAAATATCGGACATATAATCGTCTTACTGTTAAAAATTGTTAAAGTAAAAATTAAAGAGAAAAATTAGAATATCAATTCTATATCTTGATTTAAATTTTCCAAGATATTTTATTATAAATAGATGTTGTATAAAAATATAATAATTCAATTTCAGTTTATAAAATACGGTGGATGCCGCACGCTACGACTATTAAAATTCCTGTGTAGTGAGAATGAAATGAAAATAGCAGCGATACGGCGCCGCATCGACATCATTGTCGTTATCATCGTCGTCGTCGTCATCATCGTCGTCGCTGTTGCTGTTTTCATCCACCAGCACCGTCGACACGGAGAAGTCTGAATTAAACTCCATTTTCATAGAGCGCGCGTACCACGATTGAATTGCCACCCGCTTGGCTTTTCGCGCCAAGTGCTTTCGGAAATTAAGCGACATTGTGCCCTAACGAATGGGATTCATGCGAATGCGGCCTACGTTCTCCTGCCGAACAGTCTGGAAAATTCGCTCACCAGGACTTAAGAATGAAAGGAAAGTGGCAGTATACGCGCAGGTTGCACCCCGCAAATGCGGAGGGACTCGAGTCAATTTCAGGGTTCGTTTGCAGTCTTTTTTTTTCGAGAATAATAAAGGTCGCGACGTAAATTATCCATCTTCCTGTGGAATTGCCAGAAAATTAATTCGATTTCAATTTTTTTAATTGAGGAAAATTCTCAATTTATTTGTCTGCATGAATTTGCCTACTTCTCAATTTACTTGTCTGCATGAATTTGCCTAAATTCTCAATTTATTTGTCTGCATGAATTTGCCTACTTCTCAATTTATTTGTCTGCATGAAAAATAGAGAAAGAATCACTCTTTTTTATTTTTATTTAAAAGAATTATTTTAAAAAATGTTTTATTTATACAAGCGTAAACAAGTCTATTTAATTATGAAATATCTTGAGAGATGCTATTTCTGTATTTCTCCCCTTCTTCAAAAGGCTCTCAACTATCGCGCCTAAATGAATGTATAAATAATTCATAATGCTTTTGTAAGATGTATAAAATTTAAAATTCACTTTTGCATGTACAAATTGCGTTCATTTGTTATTCATCATTCATTTCTTTTCTCAAAAATTTAAACACATTATTAGACAAAAGTCCTATTCCATTTATTACCTAACCATTTATTAAAAATATCATATCCCGATTCACCTCATTATTTCTTGCAAAAATATACGAAGATATATAACGACGAATTCAGCGAGAAAGAAAAAGAGAGACAGGGAGAAAATTAATACAAAAGACGTGCAAAAAGAAGGACAAAGTAGGAGTTCGCGTTGGGGCCGAAGGGGCGAATATTCTCCTTCTCGAAGACGAGACGTTATTGCCCCGGTGGTGAGTTCATGGCGGTTAATGGTTTACGGTGGTGGCCACACGGCGGTACCGCCGGTCTCGTACCAAGCAATATCTGGTCAGTCACGTAGACTGACCTCAACACCGGAGCAATAACGACGCCTCGTGTCTGGACGTTTCTCCGCCGCCGTCGTCCCGTACGTACGATAGGAGGAGAGGGAAAGGGGAGAGAAAACGAGCGGAGAAGGTTGCTTCCTGGTGGCGGTCGCACGGTGAACAGCGTTTTTTCCTCAGACTTTTCTCCAGGTGGTCTTGGGTGCACTTTGTACGAACGCGAACAAACAATCAAATCCGCGGCTTAATCGTCAAGCGAGATTGAAATTGTCAAAGGCGAATATATTAAAATCGATGGATCGTTAAAATTAAGTATTCATAAAATTGTTCGAATCGTAAGCTAATTTAAAAAAAATAAAGACAAAGAAATTTCTTTGCAATTCTGTTAATTCTTTATGCTTTCATGTTGATACTTTTTATATTAATTGTTTAAATTATATTTAGAACTAATTAAAATTACTTAAGTTAATTACTTAAATTAATTTAAAAAACAATTACGATTAAATTAACTTTTACATTAATTTCGTAAAATAAAGCTATGAGGAATTTCGCGCTTTTCAAGTTTAAATTATTTTTTAAACGTTACAAGCGTGTTCAAGCTTAGTCTATTTACTGAAATATATTTTTGTCAGATTTCGTGGTTTCATCGTGTGTATGCGCATAGGGTATTTATAAAATCTCAAATTCGTAATTAAAAAAAAGTCCTTATAAAATAAAGATAGAAGAACGATAGACAAGGAAATTGCAGGACTCACCGTACATCTTCCCTTCGTCGGAAAGGATGATTTTGCGTCGACCGCATGGCGGATATATGGTAAGAGCTTCCTGGAAGCTCTGTTCGATATCCGGCGACCACACACCCTCCGCGTCCGCTGCCGACAGGTCCTTCTCGTCCTGGAAAATACGATCATCTAATTTAGAACAATCTAAGATGAAAGAGCCGACTATGTCTGCAATTACAACACGTCACTTGTGATCGTGTATTTTTCATCTTTAATAAAGTTTTAATGGCTACAAAAAAAGATGTAACATACTACACAAAATTAATTGGCTAATTTTACGTAGCATGTAATAAATATAATAAGAGATTAATATCGCCTAACGCTCGTGACAAAACATGCTACGTGCTAAATTACAATATACTATTTTTATTTGGACAGTTGATTAATAACCTTGAATGATTAATTAATCCTTCACGCGCTCTCGTTATAAAGGTAAACTCTAGAGTTAATGTATAGTATTTATGCATAGTGTTTAAATTATGTATTTTCTATGCATTTTTTTCGTAAATAATCGAGCCAATAAGTAATTATTATTGCAATTATTATTATCAAATATCTTTTTCTATGAATATAAATGCAATTAAATTCGAACGCTTGCCAATTTCCGATCGAAGCATTCTCTCAATATTTCGAGGCTACCAATTCCATCGCGTGGACACTCGTCACGTTCTTCGCGATCGCATTTCGTTTTGCGGAAGGGTGTCTTCGCCGCGATGTATTTTGGCGATCTGGGCACGTTCGACACGAGAAAAGTTCATTTATCTGCGATTCCGCTGTTGACCGCGCGAACGATTTATCCACCGGGTCAATCGCGAGCGTGGCTGGACCTCGAAGACCTTCCTCCCTTCGAAACAAAAGGACCTTCAGGAGCCACGTCCGGAACGTATCCTCTCTTTCTCGCCGAATCGAGCGTCTCGCGTTCCATTTCCGTTTTTCTTTCGTATGTCCGTCTCATCGAGCTTCGTGGCACGGTATTCTACAGGATGTCTTCTATTTCGATCCGGTAAAGGGGAGGTTTTTTGCGCGAATGTACGATACACGGGAACAACATCTAGTAGTCCACGGTAATCGTTGGAACCGGAATTTCAACGAATCGGAAACCTCCGTGCCGCACGAAGAGCCGAGAAACGGACGATTATCCCGGGCGTTTAGATACCGAGAAGTGTGGAAAGGGTGCGAGGAAACACAAGCTTGTCCGTTCCGAGAACCCTAGTCACGTTCGCTATGTTCGATATAATATCGTCGAGCACGCAATCCAGAACGCGAGACTCTCCAGATGGTACGAAAAAAATTCTCGATTTGATCTCGTCCGCTTTGAAGATCGAGGGCTAAGAGTAGATCACCGATAAACGTTATCGCGAAGTGATGTTCCGTTCATTTGAATCGTTTAAATTAATGATAACAGAGTTTACCAAAAGTGTTATACAAAAGAAAGAATATTATTTATATCCTTGTAAAAATAAATAAAAAATAAATAATAAAATAAATAATAAAATTTAAATAAATAATAAATTTATAATAAATAATAATTTATAGTAATAAATTTAAATAAATAATATATAATAGATAACACAGTAGAGATGTGATGGATAATAAATGAGTAAACTATTTAAATGCCTTTTGGCATCGCGCCGAAGAAATTAAATGTAGAAGAAAGCAAGGAGACAAAGTTGTAAACGCGACGTCTAGCTTTCAAGTTATTTCGTACTTTTAAAGCAGTATGCATGTGGTAAAATTAATACATTCCTAAGTAATTTTCTGAATTTTCGTGATACTATTCGATTTTATTATAATAGAATAAATAAATTGTACAAATAAATTAAAAATAATGGATAAAGCGATTTAATTGAGATAGCAAAGCTTAGAGAGAGATGTTGGAATTTGTTTTTTGCACAATTAATCTCTCACTAAAGGCTTTCTTTGATCTCGGATAATTTTTTTAGCATGAAAGCCTATGCAAACATTGAATATATTAATATATTATATTATAAAATATATTTTCGGAATAAAATATATCGAATAAAATATATTATCGTAATATATTAGTTTATTTATTAATTATTATAAATTATATTATTCAATTTTCAATTTCTTCATATGTGTAATATATATTAGGTTTCTTATAAAATTTACATGATGATTTTAACATCGCAATTCTTTATCAAATTATGAAATAATTTTTTTTCTGCCAAAATCAAAAGTATCTTCTAATTAGAGAATTATCTAATATTATAAATGATTAATTATATTCTGCAAGCATAAATGAATAATAAGATTGTATTTTTTAATTGATTTAAGATTAATTAAATCTTGAAAAAATTATATTTTAATTATATTTTAATTATATTTAATTATATTTTAATAGAAAAATATTTAAAATTTTAAAAAGCAATAATATGATAAAAAATATCAATTTCATTGATGAAAACATGTCTCAAAATTTAAAAAAATTATTATATAGGATGCATCGTTTTAATGTATCATCCTCCGCTTCAAAAAGAAAATTATTTTTGACAAATGTTTTACAACTCTTTTAGAAAAAAAATAATTTTTTAAAACATAATTTTTATATCATATGCATCATATGATCTTTAAAAAACTGGAATTTTATCTGATAAGAAACAATTAAAATAATTGAAATGATGCAGTAAGTGATCTTCTTACGTATAGATTTCTTCTTTACAATAACACAAATATCAAAACAATCCGATCAGTATAAAAAATACAATTATTATAATGATAGATATGCCAAATTACAATGACCTCGTGTTACGATGAAAGATGAATGACCGTTTAAAAACGGGGTCAAACAAAGTGACGTTACCAAGTCCTCGACATCCGGCCAGGTGTTCAAAAGTGGATACTCGCGTGTCCAGTAGCACTCACTCGTCTGCAGCATCCGCGGTCAATAAGCCTCTAACGACTTTGTTAAAGACGCGGCTATTTAATCGTACGTTTCTTTCGCGCGTGAGAGATGAATCTTTCGCCGATTGGCGAGAAGCCCGTGAGGCCAGCTAGGTTTTGCGAGGCTGGATGATTAACGCGAATACTAACGTGGCCGTTCGCGAGCGAGCGGAGTTTGATAAGAAACACCGGATGCCAAGACCAATCGAGGATGGTTATGCCACTGTAGACGAGTGGATGCGTGCTCGAACGTCGAAAACAGAAAGGATTTAATAACCGATCGACCATTTGTTTGACACGCATTTCGTTCGAGATGCAGAACGCGATTTTGTTCGCTTATAGCGCGAAATGAGATTGAAGACATAGTCGGAATTAAACCAAACAATTTGTTAAAATATTTCAAAAAAACTTGCGAATGATTTTTAAAAAAATTGTTATATAAATTACATTTGAAAAACTCTTTACGAGATCAAAAAGTATATAAAATAAATTAATAAATCTTCTATGCTAATATTTGATAAAAAAAAATCTCAATTTTTACTACTCCAAAAAATTACATCTATACTTTGCAGAGATTTTTGTTTACAATTTCGCGTAAATGATAAATACCCTTTGATAACTATTTTATATTCACTTCAAATAAACTACGACAGTTTAAAGGACTAAGAAATGTTCATGACAGATGTAAACACGAGCCGGAAGAACAAGCTCGCTCCTGCGAATTCCGGTCGCGATTAATTAAAATAATTCATTAAAATTAAAAACAAACACTATTACCTTCGTATTTGACGTAATCATTCTTAATTAAGATAGTTGACTTACATCGCTAATTTCGCCAACGTCGAGGTTCTTCGTATCCGAGCCGGAGCCGTTGGCGTCGGGCGGCGGCCCGGAACTCGCGGGGGTCCACGGCGCGGAAATGGTGTCGGCTGCAGCCACCGCACTGCCTGCAAACAAACGAGGAACAACTTTGGTTTATTAACTTTTCTCAGAAAAATCCTAGTCTCAAGCTGTGCCCGCGCACGCGAGATGAAATTGCGAAAATGACCTGAATTTATCTCGCGCAGCGGAAAGTAATAACCATAAATTAACTCCCCATGAAAGTCATAAATGTTACCAGTCTTATTCTCTCTCATGTATCGAAAGATACAGATAACAAATATATATAAAATGATAATAAAAATTACCGAAATAAATAGCGGTATGTGCAATGGAAGAGAGCAATCTGATGATTTTGTCAGATTCATATTTCTTCCCCTAATATAACAATGATAATGATAATAATCTCTTAAGGGAGGCAATAATAATGATTTGAATATTAATTGCGATGTTAATATAGGGAAAAGTAAATAAATAAAATTTCTCAATCGCTCGCAATTTTATCAGCGAAACCATTATGGTACTTCCGGGTCACCCCGCCTATAAATTTCCAATTTCACATTCGTTATTGTTTCTAACAATGTACGCATTGCGGAATAACGAATTAATTCTGCTGGTCATCGCGCGGCGAGGTAGTTTTCGACAGAGCGGAATATTATCCTATCGGATTAGTTACGGGAAAGGGAACAGAAAGAGGGGGAGCCGGGGGGTTATACACACAGGGGGTTCGGGGTGGGAGCGATGACAGAAAAAAATCAGCGCGTAAAAAATCGCGACCCCAGAGGATGGGGTGGTGAAGGCAGGGGGTAGAGGATAGAGACGGCACCTCGTCGTCGTCGCTTTTCTACGCTCGTCGGAGCAACAAGTGTTCGCTGATATCGCGTATCAGTACCACGATGGCAGGTGGGGATAGCTCGTAGGCGGTACACTCCGCCTACCGGGGGTGGAGTGCGTGTGTTAAACCCCCGGAAGAGACCCCTATCCCCGACGGGGTTGCCGGTGGCGGTACGAATCCCGATCCGTAGCAACAACCACTCCGGAAAGCCGAGTGTTCTCCCTACCTCCCCCTTTCCCCCGTCCCCGTTCGATCCCTTTCTCTCCCTCTACATCATCCCCCTCCTCCCCATCCCCCTGTGGCATTCATCGCGATGACGAAATTCATCGGGGAATCATTCGCGGAGGCTGCCTGCGCATGTGCCGACCATATCCCAGTTCTCGGAGAGAAACAAGACGAATAATTGTTAATTATACGCGGATTTTCGATGTTCCACTTCACGCGTTTGCAAGGAAATATGTCACGTTGTATTATTATTACATGTCTATATTCGATATAATATTTTTCTCTTAATATTTACTTTACAATTAATCTATTATTTTCGTATTTAAAAAATGCATTACTCTCTAGAATAAATTTCTTGGTATTACTTTAATATATCCATGGAAGTGCATGCAGCAAATATTTCAAAATACTCATCGCGTTTTATCCGATCGACTAGAAAATTGTTCGAAATGTATAAAAAGTGTATAAAAAGTCCATGTGTGACATGCCGTATAAAAAAGGTGTCAATCCTCGGTACGTACATTTCTCGCGAAAATGCACGGGCGATCATCGCGGTCAACGGGGAAATATGCGAGTGCAATATGCAGTCTACAAAATGAGCGGTGGCTTAATAGAGACGCGAGACGCACGTGTACGAGTTACGTATGTATGCGCGCGCCGATATGTGTGCGTTACACGTGTGCACGTGCACGAGTCCGTGCCGGAACGGACAGAAAACATAGATCACAGAGGATGACGTATGGTTGCATTCGGCATGCTCGTAGACGAGGGAGAAAGAGGAGAGAGAGAGTGAGAAAGAGAGAGTGGGGGAGAGGGGGAGGTTACCCACCAAGGGATGGAAATGTTCGGATGAAGGATAGGGTATGACCGGGCACACGGTCGTGATAGGGTGCAGGAACTTTGAGAGGGAGGCGCCTCTCTCTCTCTCTCTCTTTCTCTTTTGCTTGCTCTCTCTCTCTCTCTCGCTCTCTCGTCGGCGAAACCTCGGAATGTCCTGGTGGCTACTACTACGATCGCGGTAGAGATCGCGAACGTGCCACGTCCTTCTCTGTTATCCGTTCCGCTAGGATATTACGGTGCTAGATTCTCCCGGTCCGGTCCGGCTTGTTGAGTAATGATCGAGTCGCGACAAATTTTCGGCTCGCGAAGAGGGACGGTGGCGAGCGCGCGCGCGCGTCGCTCGAATAGGCCGGATTCAGTAAATTGCTTAGCTTTCTACTCGGACCGGTATACTTAAAGTGATATTTAATGAATCATATTACGCACGCAAAGCGACATCAATCTTTTTGCATTTGCATCTTTAGGATTCTTTTCAAAAATTCATACGTCACATTTTTATAAGCGTCTGAGATTTTCTATTTGAAAATATTTTAATTTAAAAGATCAAAAAGAAATTTACTTTTCATCTTTTTTATCAGGAAAAAAATATTAGCAATGCAGCCGAATAATAAAATTTTTTAAAAGACCACAAAGAAATTTACTTTTCATCTTTTTTTATCGGGAAGAAAATATTAGCGATGCAGCTGAATAATAAAATTTATTAAGAATAGAAAAAAAGACGTTGCGTCTTAAATAAAACTTCTCAATTCAACACTTAATATTGTGTGCTTTGTTGTTATACTTTACACTAATTCAACTGTGTTTAGACTATTAAATTACTGAATCTCGTCGAGATTCTACTGAAATGAGAATTATAGGTAACGTAGAACATTTGTAGTAGAGGTTGCAACAATGCGACGAATGAAGAAACTAGAGAGAGAGAGAGAGAAAGATGAACGTTTTGGAATGTCGCGAATATTCGCGAGAATGAGATCGCTACGTCCATCTTTCAACACATTCTTGCGAGTTTAATTCCGCGATATATCGCGTGTGCAGTGAACCTTACGGTTGTCAAAAACTTCTAAGTTTTTTGCTAAACGCATTATTTCATAACTCTATCTGCGACTATTCACATACGTGTTATATTTTCAACAAGCAAAGTAATAGAATTATCGATAATTTTTTTTAAATTTTTCACAAAACATATTGATAGAAAAATGCGAAAGCAAAATCTAAATTACTCGTGAATTTTATCTCATCTTTATGCTTCAATCGAAGAATACTATAGCACGAAAATTTCGCGAAATTAATAAAAAACGATTATTCCTTCAAACTTCGAATAGACTTTTCGACGCGAATTCATCATCGGGAAAATGTCGTTTGCTTTATCCTCGAACCATACGTAGTATACACAGGTACATGTATCAGTTGCACTCTGCGAGGATGATAGTAAATGCCATATATGGGGTGGTAGTGGCACTGGCTAAGTTGTAAATTTGGCGTATAACCATTCGGGGGTGGCCCTGGTCGAGTAGGCCAGGTCTGTTCTCTCTATCTCTACTCATCTATTTATCTCCCTCCCTATTTCTCTCTCTCTCTTTCTCTCCCTCTCGCTTCCTCGTTCCGCTTTTCGGAGGTAGTCGGCGAGGGGGCGAGCGGCAGGCGGAACAGGGGGGAGGAGGGGGACGGTGAGACAGGAGACGGGGGTCGCGTAGAAGCATTCATAGCAGGGACCAGAGGGTGGCTTCGGTGGAATGCGTCCCGTTTAATATCGCGGAACATTATATATCGCCTCTCTTGTCCCTACGTTGGCCGTGCGGAGAGCGGTATAACGTGTGCAAACACACCTCCGCAGATGCATATATGTACGGCAATCTAGCCACGATGACGACAATGTGTCCGATAACGCACTCGGGAGGTCTCCGGGAGACCTTTTCATAACGCCGGCGAATCTTTTGCGAAGCGTTACATACATAGTTATTTATCGGCGATCGCGTGAAAATGGAAAAGTCCGATTTAGTTTGCCGGTTATTCCACATCTGGCTTTATCATCTTCTCCTGTCGAGTATACTCTGCGGTATACTGAAAGAAGCGGCAGCATTGATCTTATCAAGGAGATCCGAAAGAGTTAATTGTAGTAATAGTTTATAATTTTAAAAGTAATATTAAAATAGAAAATAGTTTCTTCTCAGAAACCATAAAAGAGACTTTCAGAAATTATTCCATGTTAATTGAAATATTAATCTTTTTATTTGTGCTCTTATAGCTTTAAACATTTTTAATTTAAATTTTATTTTTTTCTATATTTTTTTGTATACTTGTACAAAAATGATCGATATCTCCATTTTTTCTTGCTAAGGAAGAAAAGATCAGTTGAAGGAGTACAAGTTATGTTGCGCGAATATTTTTCAACGTAGCAAATATTGCCAAATGATAAAAAAGATTGTAATATTGTTATAATACTGTGTCGTGAGGATACGACATTACGTTGGATAATGGCGATAAAAACGTAATCATAATTTTTATATCACCGTGACGAGGCTTTTTCCTCTCTCACGTAAATTTCCGGGAAAAATTAATTATCATCTCGATGCCGGTCGCGAATAATCGTGCCGCAAAATTTATTAAGAGACGACGCGCTCGCGCCGTGCTCCGCCTTTTATGCGAGCCATTAAGAATTCTAATCGGTTCTGGCACGAGCCACGTTTCGATATTATCGGACAATTATACGTGCGCAAAGCCATGGGGACAAAGTAAAAAGTTGGTGAAAGAGCGTGCGTGATATAGACTTTATATAAATCGACCGCGACGAATCAGGCTTAATCGTTCAGTGCCCGTTATACGGTTTAGATAAAATATCACGTTAAAAGCAACGTTAAAGGCGCAAGCTGCTGAAACGACGATTGCGCAGAAATTATTGAGCCGTGTTAATGCACTCGTGATTTTAACGCGGAGCGATATAGCAGATCAAGTAACGAATAAAACAAAATTATATTTACGTTGATTCAATTAAATACCAATAAAATTTCGTTTAGAAAAACGTGTGCTACATAATCACCAGCAAGTACATTTCTAGATTATAACTATGATAATTATTCATATTTAAATTCAATATTAAAGTTTATATTTATACCAATATACAATATATTTCTTCTTGTATGTTTCTACATTTATATCTATATATATTTT